CATTGTCCAAACGCTTCTTCAACTCTGGCAGGCTCAGAGCTGTGCCCATGTCCCTGGGCAGCCTGTCCCAGTGCCCGACACCTCTGGGTGCAGAACCTTTCCCTAACCTCCAGCCTGACCCTCCCCTGTCCCAGCTCCATGCTGTCCCCTTGGGTTCTGTCGCCGTCCCCAGAGAGCAGAGCTCAGCACCTGCCCCTCTGCTCTCCTCATGAGGGAGCTGCAGGCTGCCATGAGGCCTCCCCTCAGCCTGCTCTGCTTGGGGCTGAGCAAACCAAGGGACTCAGACATTCCTCAGACATGTTGCCCTCTAGACCCCTACCCTCTGTGTAGCCCTCCTTTGGAAAGCTCATGGTTTTATGTCTTTCTTATATTTTGGTGCCCAAATCTGCACACAAGTACTCGAGGTGTTCTCCATCAGTTCCTGTCTCACTTAGGCGGCACAGGCCCTTTGACTCCCAAATATTTCCTGCTTTAAGAATGTGGTAATTATTATGAGATAAAGAACACATCTTTAACCAGAACAGCTATTCTGCAGTAATGATCTGTCAGAATCTTCATTCTGAAACATCCCCCCGATGCTGACAAGCCCCAGTTTGCTGTGTGTCTCTGGGTGACTGATTTTTACGTACCTGTACTTCTTCATCTCCATATGCAGAACACGCTATGAAACAACCCCTGCTGTAGTGGTTACTTTGCCTGTACCTCCTTACAAATCTCTGAAAAGCTGCATCTCTTCAATCTCTGTTGGAACAGCAGAGCGCACCGTCCAATCCCCAATCTCTGGTGTTTGCAACATTGAGACCTTCACACTACAGCTTCCCCAACACGCGCCATACACTAACACTGCCTGTTCTTCTGACCTGTTCTACAAATACTGCGGCACTCTGGCAGCTCCCACCTGCTCCCTGACATCCCCCCTCTCAAACTCTGCATAGACAGGAAAAATCCATTGTGTAGGACATTCCCCCAAGTCACAGAGAGGTAATTGGTACTCAGGATTTCCTATGCTGCGTGTCTTACATAAAGCTTCCATGCACTCTGAACGGTCAAGGTAACAGCTTCTGTCACTGAACAGCCTTTGTGGAATATAAAATGCATCTACAGCCTGCTGCTGAGGGTTGTGTGAATACAGGAGCTCAGAGAAGTAACAGAAGCTAAATCTTCAAAGCCCACTTCACAAGTAAGAGAGGCTTTCAGAGCTTAGAGAACAAGGTCACTGAACAAACTATTTACAGTGACTAACAAATAGGCGGTGAACAAAGGCCTTATTTGACCTGGGTTACACTTCCACTCAACACAAGTTGAGTTGTGGCAGGACAGGCAGCAGAGCCACAAGCAGAGCTACATGTGGCATCATGGCTGGAACACAGCAGAGAGCACAGTCTCTTGGATCATTATATCCCAGCACCAAACCCAAGGCGTGAGGCAAATCTAGCCCAGAGTGCCAAGACGAGAATAGCAGTGCTTCTGTGTCACAGAAATATTGTCGTTTGTTGCTATCTAAAAAATCAACTTATCAGATGGAGATTGTCAAAAACACCCCTCGTGTCAGTCTGTTAGCCACTGGATCATTCTCCATGGCCAAGGGCTGCACCAGAATTCACTCACCTCAGTGGTGAAAGGACACCCCTTTAGTACAAACCAAGCTGATCTTTTCCCAGTTTGCCCAGTGCTTGTATCTGACTCTTTATATTCCATCAAGCTCAAAACAGAGTTTTATGTTTTATTTTTAAAATATGTGGACTCACTACTTTTCAAATCCACATTTAATGCCTCTAAGCAGAGCCGAAGAAGATAACCTAAGACACCTCGGCCAACCATATACTAGATTCTTCCTGCAGTTTTGGGTTTAACTTCAGCTTTCAGTAACTATTACTGATACTAAAGGCTCCTCACAGGCCACACATTGTTTGAAAACGACAGATACAAAACCACCAGACTATGCAGTACACTTCTGTTCCCACTAAATTTAATTCCACTTGCAAGCTATCTGATGCCAGCCAGAACCTTAGTGAAGTCTGGTCAGACTGAAACTTCCTCCCTTTTCCCAGGCTGAAAATTAACAGTGAAGTATTGATTCCCCACTAGCTTACCTGACAGTACACATTAAAATGTGATTTTCACTATTAAAAGCACATACAAACAAGTCATCAGAGAAGCTACTAAATACCACATTAATACCTGACTAGTTCCTCCCTGGTATCTGTCCACCTACACATTTTGATCTCAGAGTACATGAGATTTACTCTGTTTTCAACATGGAACAAGCTACCTTGGTCTCCTTCATATTTATCACAGGGTAGAATATGCAGAGTTACGTCTAGCTACTGAATATACTGTAGTTTCACAGCTGAGCTTGTCCCTGCAATAATTTCTTCACTCAGTTGAAGCTTTATGCATAAGCATGAGATAGCTTGAGGGGGGTGTGTGTGTGTGTGTATAGTGATTACCACCGTACCGTGCACTGAGTTAGGTGATCAATGTATACAACTGACTTTGAAAGCTTCCCTCCTAGTAAAATAAAGCATGTCTTTTTTTTTTCCTTAATCTGGAGGTAGTGCATAGGCATTATTCATTTGCTCATTCATACATGTGCACACGCACAAGTATTCTGAGGTGTGATTTTAAAATACGTTGGCTGAGTCAAAATAAAAAAAAACACACAGTCCCTTCTACTTGACATATACTATTATAAGACCCACAATTATTTAGTGAAACGTTTAAATAATAAAACACCCATATATGACACTATTTATAACTCTTCAGTTATGCCCCTCCCACTGAACCTGATTTACCACGCTACAGCCCCTAATGTTAGATGCTGTCATTGGGCAGGATCTAGCATCACTTCAGCCTCAGTACACTGACTTACCAAGGAAACTGCAGAATCACATCCAACTCAAGCACTGATTTCAGCACTGATGAAAAAAGCTGGCTCAACTGTGTTGGCCCCTGTCCATAGCACGTGCACTGGTGGTGCAGACTTCCTGCTGGGTGCTCAGCCAGTGCGCCTCTGCCTGCATTAGCAGGAACCATCTGCGGGGATGAAAGAAGAGTTCAACTTCCAGCTTGACTTCCAACCTCAAGAATAGCCTCACTACTCTCTCCTCCAGGAACCACTAAATAATACAGAGTGCAGTTTGCTGAACTAGCAGTTTCTGTTAGGGGTAATCCCTATCTCCACGGGCTGTGGGGTTTCTCCTTTTCACCATACATAGTCTTCAACATTATTATCACAGATGAGATTTAGCAGTAGACAATAAGGCAACTCCTACTAGAATAATTCCAAGATACCAGTATCTTGGTTGGTCTCATGCTGCAACAGAGGTCTTAACAATAATGGCTCTTACATGGAACTTCTCATCCATCTACCTTTAGAAAAACAATACAGAGAGATGAGAATCACCACCCCATTATAAATACAGGGAAACTGAGGTATTAAAAGGGGAGTAATGATAAAATGTGAACGCTAGCAGCAAAGCAAGGCATAAAACCAGGTCTCCTGCATCCCAGCTGGGTGCTCCAGGCAACACAGCTGGAAAGCTCCATATCCCATTACCCATATACTGAGTCACTGAGTTCCCCCAGCAAGGATCTTATTTTTCATTATGGAGTGAAAAATAAAACAAGCCACAGGGCTCTAACTCCTCCTGCAAGCCAGAGAGACACAGCCAGAAATTTCGATGGCAAACGAGGCAGTGAAAATGCAGCCTGACACAGAGCAAAGTGGCAGAGGCAAGCCAGCCGTCTGGGTGCCGGAGTGGTTGTATCACTCATTATTCGGGGAGAGCGGGGGAGTCTGAAGCGTTACTTCAGCTGGAAGAAAACAGGCTGGCTGCTGATTAATCCAAAACGCTGCTTGGAGATGGGAGACCTCATGGTCGCCAGCCTCCAAAAACAGAATGTAAAGGCTCAAAACCAAGCCACTACAAATAATTTCCTTCTACTTCTCACCAGTGGCCAGTCAGGCTATGCAGGCAGGCTCAGTAACTTGTCTTCTTTGTGTGACCATTTCCAGAAATACAACACAGCACCCCAAAACAAACTGCTACTACTAAGCATTTAAGCAAATGGAGCAACTGAATGTCGTATGTCTCTCTGCCCCAAAGTATTCCTGCAAATCAGACCTAAAGATACAAGAACAGGACCCCAGCCGCCTCCTACAAATCCCTCAAACACATCTACCTATAAAATCTGTACAATTCCAAAATGGAGCTTCAACAAGTTCCTCAGTGAGCCAAAAGAAATAAAGCCACAGTCCTTACTGCTGTGGAGACAGCAAAGGGCACCCAAGAAGAGGAGCAGCAGCAATGTGGAGTTTTGTGAGTTTTTTTAAGACAAGGTGACAGGACTCCAAGAAACCGTGAGAGAACCAGAGTCGAGCCTGGCTCATGGGATTACTCCAGCCCAGTATAGATGCAGAGCCCAACATTTCAGACACACTTACAGCCAAAGGGCACCAGGGAGCTGCTCTCACGACAACCTGGTGTCACACCAAAGGCAGGCCAGGGCCAGGCCCTCCTCCCACAGCCCCAGCCACCCCTCTGCCACATCCCCCTGCTGCCATGAAGATGGGAGCATCCCCCCCCAACCACAGCCAGTATAGAAAAGGGCAAAAGGGGTTTGCTCTCCTACATACCCAGGCTTAAACCACCCTTTCTGGCACCTATTCCTGACTGGGGACTCCCCCAGAGGGCTCAGTCATGTCCCAAACTGCTGCTGCCCATGCACAGCCAGGGCAAAGCCAGTTCCTGGGCCTTACCCCACCACAGCAGCGCTGCACACACGCACCTGGTCCCTCAGAGGATGAGGAAGCAGCTGTGGGAGCCTTAAGGACTGGGGAGAGAAAGAGCCTCGGCCCCACCTCCCACCCTGAGCCCCCTCATGGCTGTGAAGCCCTCTTTCAAAATGGCCGCCTCCCCACACGGCCACCTCCCAAAATGGCGGCCGCCTCCTATGGCCCCCCCAGCCCCAGCAGGGCGCAGAGAGGCAGACACGAGTCCCCGAGGCGCCATGCTTTATTCTCAGGGGTGCAGGATTAAAGGAAGGGAGCTCGGGGGACGGGATGGGTGTTCACAGGTGGGCAGGGAGCCCAGCGGGGCCAGGCAGGGTGGCACTAGCAGGAGGTGAAGGTTTTCCAGAAGAAGTTTTTACAGGGGGCCTTGCGGTCCCGCTGCGAGAGCTGGGCCAGTCGCCCCAGCGTTGCCCGCTCCTCCTCCAGCTTGCCCTCTTCTTCAAGGTCCGGGGAGGCCACGTCCACGCTCTCCAGCAGCCCTGCCAGCATCTTCAGTATGGCATCTTTCCGCAGTTTGGTCTGCTCCTGTGGGCAGAGAGCAGGGGAAGGTGACAGAGGTCCCAGCCCTCGTGCAGACACCCCCTAGGTAATTTGCAGAGTTCACCCAGGGAAGGCTGTATGTACATCGATGTAACTGGAAAGGAGCTGCTAACAAATAGGCACAAATTAGCTGTAAAGTCCCTTGCTGCCTGTGCTAATTAAATTTCAGTGAACGCCAAGCTGCCTTCTCTCCTAGTAAGCCCAGGCTCCCTTCACTGTCCTGACTGTCCAGCATTCATTCTGGGAAGGTCAGGGAAGAGGCACAGAACACTGAGCAATGTTAAATTGAGCACACGGGGGGCCACAACCCACCACAAAATGCTGAGAATTCAATGTAACACAGGGGAGGGTCAGGTACCCTCTAACCACGCTCTCTGTTGGCACCAGCATTTGCTAAGGACCATTTGGTGAGCTTATAAGGTGGACAAACACAGGCAGCGGCAATTGTATTGAGTTTCCTTCACAGAATGTTTACGGATATTTTTGAAGCATTTTCTTAGCACTAATTACTAAACTTGTTTCCACACAAAGAGAAATTAGATGTTATGTTTGTAGCAGCAGCAAAGATAAAAGCCAGTCTGTGCCCATCCTGGGTTCCTAGTCCTGTGCTGAAAGTACAGAAATGTCTTGAACCTTAGGGAGATGGGCTGGGACATGGGAACTCGGCTAAATGTGTCTCCTGGGTCATGTCTTCCTCATAAGCTGCTTTCCTAGCTGTAAGTGCTATATTTTGAAATAACCTGCTCCAAGTAGAGCCACAGACGAGCCCTGTGACGTTAAAAGCCATCTGCTAAAGATTCAGCTCCTTAGTGAAGAGAAATGAAGTAGCTATACTAAAACTCTCAGGAGATGAACTAGCTGCTTCAGACTCAGGGGTGGCAGAGCTCAGCCGGCTGTTAGAGGATATTCCTTATGCATGATCGGCTGTGGCTGTTAGTGAAATGAGACAGCTCTTCCCCACACCAATCCATTGCTAACATCCTTTCTGTTTTTTGCTGTTCTTGAGTTGCATGAGATGAAGACTCTTTGGAAGCAGCTGGAGACCTTAGCACTGATGGGTTACGGCACACCTTTGGGTAGCTACGCACTCAGTTCCCTGTACTGCTTCCACCAGCACATCAGAACGTACAGATCTTTCTTTTGCATTGTTATGCATTTCATGGTAGTTTATACATAGAATTCTGATATTCTTCATACTTAAACCATTTGTTTGAGTTACAGCCTACAGTGGTGACTGTAGACATTGCTTCAACAGTATTTAAGATTTTTTATCAGTTTGTAGAATGCTCAGAAGAGAATCATATCTATTTTGATAGATACTGAAGTCATTATTTTGTAAGAAATCTTGTAGAAGACAGAGTCATTACACTTGAATACATTTTTTATCAGAGCCTTACTTACCGATTTGTTCTATATAACTTGTTTCTTTTTTTCCTGGCAGCTAGCATTTCCTCCAGATAGAGTTCACTTTTTAAGCACTGGATTCATTGCTGTAAGAATGTACAGCTGAAAGTTTACAGTTATCCCCAGAAGGGTTAATCCCAGCCAGCTGCAGAAGCCCTGATCTCTAGCAGAAAGCTATCCCTAGCACCTCACCCTGTATGTTTCTTTCTTACAGCCAGTTTTGTTGTTAATGGGATGTGAGACCACTCCTAAAGCAGCAAGACACTGATGCATGAGCTGGAGCCAGCGCTAAGACAGAAAGAATGATATGGTTACACACAAAGGAGAAGTTAGTGCCTTTGAAACCAACATTGGGATCCTTCACTTGTCAGAGTAGCTCCTATTGAGGACTGAAAAAACAGCAGTATTACAGATACAGCTGTGAACTGGAGCGGCAGAGTGCGACTGAACACAGCTCAGAGGAGCCTCAGGGATGGCAAGGAACAAGCAGGTGAGAAAACTGCGGGGCAAGGGCAAGCAGCACAGAGCACTCGCTTGTGATAACGTTATGCTATTGTTTCCTACCCCTTTGGCCTCTTAGGGAAATAGTCCAGCAAAACAAAGTTATTATAGTGCTGTAGCTATTATAACATTAGAGTTTTGCCAGTTGGTAGGATAATTATATTGCTATAATAAGTTCTGCCACTGCACAGAGCTGTGCTGGTTCAGAGTGTAATTATTCTAGCAGAACTATGTCGGTATAACTCCCATTGTGAATACTACTCTGGAAAAAGCAATTTTATTCTGATATAATTACTTCATTTATTATTCCTCTGTTACTTTCCTACTGAACCCATCTTTTAAACATTTGTCCTTCCCATGAGTCCTATTTAAAATATCATCTCCCTTGATCATTTTACCAATTATGTATCTTTTCTCTCCCTCCCTAGTACTCCGCTTCATTCTCTCATGATCTTTCAGCAATCTTATTTTCTCCTTCTCCATCTCCTTTCTGCTCTGTTCTCTTTGCCAGTTTTTCCTTAGTTTAGACTTCACTTTTACAGATCTCTGAAGTCTGCCCTGGTACCTTTCCTAAATAAACTGGCTAGTAAGCTGTAGTAACAACCCCTGCTTCAGCAGTGCATGAAGCTGTAGTGCCTTGAAACACAAAAAGGTAGAAGTGCTTACATCAGGTAAAGCCCAATTGCCCTTTTTACCCCTCCCCTGGCTTCAGCTTGCTTCTGCATGCTCCCATCCCACCCAGCCTCCTGCACAGGGTGCATTATACTCACCCTACTGTTCTGTAATGCGAGTCTCTCTTCTCCGGGCAGTGCAGTGGCTCTCACGCTCCACACCAGCAGCAGAACGGACACCAGGCTGGCCACCAGCTGCATGATGTACAGGCTGTGACTACCGTGCTGAATTAGGAAGACTGGGAGAGGGAGCTGTTTCTGGGCTCTCTTCTGCCTCAGACAATGGCTGCAGCCCCTTTTATAGCCCTCCCCCTAGCCCAGTGGGTGACGCAAACAATTAAGTCTATATCAAAGGCAAATTAGACTTTGGAGAGGTTGTTAACACTTGGCTGCTTGAGTGGGATACTTCAGTGCCTCTGGGCTTTCCATGTGCCAGACCTGTAGACACTGAGGAAGCGAAGGTTTGGGACTCTCCAGTAACATGCTGTTTCTTCACCCCCACAAATTGTAGGCACTATCTGTGCCTCCCCTAGTTAGCTGAATTCTGCTTGGGAACATAATGTTGGCTAGAATAGGCCACCAGCTTGCACAAACCTCTGGCCAATGCTGGATGATTCAGAGGGAAGAGGCAAAACTTCTGGCCACCAGTACAGATACAGACTTGGACCCTCAGCCCTTGATGTCCAAACAGCTCTGGCCTCGAGGGGTTTTTGGACCTAGATCTCTGCATCCAGTGACACATCTCACAGTGGAACACCAGTATGCCTGGCTTCCCGGTTATTGGTAACATGGGGACACAGGTTGCACAGTAATATTTAATATACACAGTAATATTTACACAGTAATATTTAATATCTTGCAAATGTACTTCAGGCTGCCTGGAAGCCAGTTGTTGGTTATTGTTTTTTTGTTTCTAGTGTTGTTTCAATGTGTCTTGAACCAATCCCAAAAGTATAGGTCAACACAGCTTGGAAATGCTGGATTTAAATGTATTATAGGGAAAACAAAGTACTGAAAGGCTGGTCAAAGCTGAAGCTGCTCTATTCAATGAGACTTCAGAAAAAAAGCTTGTGATGTGCTGACACTGACTGCAGGCTTCTTGGTACATGTTCTGGCCATTGCTGGTCTCTGGTTAGCAGGACTTAGGAATGTCTCTCCCTTAGCACAAATGCTGTCACACCTGAAAGATTGGTTTGTGGGCCCACAGGTGCTTTTAAGCACTTCTGCCTGCTTTCCATTGCCCCTGTCGTGTGGGGATGGCATCTGCTGCCTCCTTTCTGTGAGATGCAGACAGAGCTAAGGATCCCAACTCCCAGCTAACCCAGCAACACTCACCTCGTGGCAAGTCCCCTTTCTGACCTTAACAACTAACCCCAACAATCAAAAGGTAAATTGTTATACTAATTTAGCACATAAAAAAACACAGTGAGGTGACGTGGCCAAAGGGATGCCGTGGTAGAACTAAGAACAGAAGGCAAGGAAACCTGTGCCCCACTTCCACTGCGTACCAGTGTCACAGATCCTGGAAGCAGCATGATGAATCTCTGCCTGCAAATAATCCAGCTCCTAATGCCAGTTACACCACTCTGGATGCTCTTGAGAGCAAAGATGCCATCTCTTCCATACATTTTTACAGAGAAATCCCGAATTCCCTCACTGAAAGTTATGAAGAAAAAAATTTAAGTGATGCAGACTTGTGGGGAAAAGTGACAATCCAGCAATTGAATTAAACCCAGAAATGGATCTTTCTGAGAACTTTGTAACCCCATTGCTTCTCATCCCCCCTTGTGAGAGCAAACTTCTATGTGTCAGTTTCAGACGGAACATTATCCATTTATTTTTAAACTGATCTTGCTAGTTTATCAGAATTGCTGTATTACCCCTTCATAATGGATTCTGTCAAACACTTCCCAGCCTGTCTGGGGCTCGAGACAGAGAGCAGTGAAATAGCAGGCTCCAGCAAGTAAGCAAATCACAGGGACTTGCTAAATGACCCACAGCCGATTTGCACCGGGAGAGGTAAAAGCAGGAGGAGAAGAGCAAATGGAGAAAGCACACTTGGTTGCTCAAGAGGAACAAAGGGCATGTACCTGTGTGAGATGTGCCTGCGCTGACAGGCAGGCAGGTGAATTCTGTACCATTGCTTACAAGGCAGGACTAAACCTCACGGGCTGATTAGCCCAAAAGCTAGACAGACAGCAGAAGCAGTGCAACCAGGTCTCCATGCTGGGGGCCATCTGGTCTAACCAAACTGCTTGTTCTAATAAATATGGTTTTGTGTGCAGCTTTGCCTTCAGAATGGGCTGTTTTCTGTAATGCTTCATTGAGCGAATGGGGTCACAAGTATGACAATGTTCTTCTTCTAAAAAAGGGATGATGTGCAAGGCAGAGCAGATCGCTTCTGGGAAGGTCCACAGAGATGTAAACAGCGACCAGCCTGCAGCAGGGCTGCCCTGGGATTAAAGGGTAATAATAAAATAATTGCTGTCTCTTGGGGGGTGGCTTTGGAGCAAGTTTCTGACCAGACACGCCAGCACCAAACCTGTGGCTCTGCTGACCTGCACAATGCAACCAAAAGCTGCACGTCTAGCCTGGGTAAGGCTGGGGTCTCCTCCCAGCTGGGAGCAGGGGGATAGTCACACATCAGAGCACTCAGACCTCAGTGTCCACAAGTGGGACCGGATCTCTAAATCCAAACAAGTTCTCTAAGTTCTCTCAGCTGCCCTGCTACAGCAACTTTCAGTCTCAGATAATTTTAATTTATTTTTTTTACAGATTCTTCCGTCTCCCCTAGTGTCCTTCCCTTTCCTCACATCTCTGCTGCTTCCCCTACCTTAGTTGGTCCTCCAGCCCCTTTGCAGAGCCCCTGCTGGTTCCATTACTTTCACTGCTGCCCATACCCCAGTCACAGGCTATAGCACCACCTCCTTTCCAAAGGAAGCAGAATAACTCCCTAGCGATATGACTTGTTCTTTTTAGTAACTGGAAACACATCAACACATAGCACCAGGATTTCTCTTTATGCTTACCATGTTCCCTATTCCCTACCACACTGGCTGGTGGACCTTTTAGGTGGCCCAAATTTCTCTTCTCCAACCTGTATAACGCTTGTCACTGCACAGGGAAATTTAAGGTCCTCCCCTAATTTCCTCTTACCACTTTCTCTATCTCATTTATCTGACTCACCCCTTTAGAAGTCTTCTTCCTCCATGCTCTCTTCTGTTTGGAGTTGTGTATGGTTTCCGTGTGTTTCTACCACTTTACAGTGAGGACAGATCTATCTGAAGTCAGCATGCCTGTGAACATGTCCAAGGGAGCCTGCTAGGTGGGGATGCTCCAGGTGGAAGCTCAGCTACAGACTAGCTTGAAAAGGCCTGGGTGGACACCAAGGACTTTGGCTCACAGTAAGGGTGGCTTCAGCAGTAATGCAGAGCGGGTTCAGGAGTGCAGCAGAGGAAGCCTACACCACCATTTGGGACAACAACAACCTTCCTGTGATAACGGGTGAACAAGTAATACGCAATAGGAGAGGTTTTGTCTTTGAGGAGGGAGGTCCTTGCCCTCTCGTCAGCGTGTCTGTACAGCAGTGAGGACTGGGCACTGCTGGAACACAAAAGCAAACACCAGGTATGGCACCAAATGCCACATTAAGGACTGAGATAACTTCTCAGTTGTTTTTCTCTATTGCTCGGGTATTTGCTGTCTTCTGCCCGCTTGTTGCCTGGTCTGAATTCAGACCATCGGGTCTTTGTGAGGCACGTAGGAGAATTGCATCAGGCTCCCAGAACAATGTCTGGTTCCCCAAGGTGAGGCACTCAATTGCAGCTCAAGAAGGGCTGAAATGCTTCTGCTTTCCTGTCACTGGAAGCCTTCCTCTCTGCCCTCAAGAGGCCCTGGTTGCAAAGGGCAATGCAATAAATAAAGCAATAGGCAGCTGACAGTGGCAAGCCATCCTGGAAGGGGAAACCAATTTGTTCATGGGCCTGAAATCACAGCTCATTTATCAGGCCAGGCCAGCAGCATTCCCTTGCATCGCGCTCCCCAGAGGACTCGGAGAAGCGTTCAGGTGGCTGTTCCAGCCACGGCTTTCATCGGCTCTAATCTAACAAACCCAAGGAAGAGACTGCCTGAGCGTGGGCTGGAGCCCACAGCTCCCGCTCATCTCTGATAAGAGCTGCAGAGCAGGTGCAGGGAGGAGGAGGGGAATACCGCAGGGATGCTGCTGTCAGAGCACACACGGCTACAAGTATGTTACGGCTCTCTGGGGAGGTAGAGCTGGGGAAGTTGTGCTGCCTTCCCTGTCCGTCAACCCCAAGGGGACTGCAGGATGAAGAAGGGAGGGCGAGCGCAAGGCTTCAGTGGTAGGCTCTGAACCTTTTATTTCAATATGCAAAGTTAAACATTTCAGTTTTTTCCACTTAAAAAAAATCCTCCTCAAAAAAGCAACTACTTGCTATGAGGCACCTATTTCAAAATACCTCTGTTTCCCACTGAGAACGTCTGGCCTGGCTCCAAGTAGGAGGGATTTCGGGCTGTTAAGCAGGCTGAGGATGCTTGGGGTTACTGACCCTGACACACACACTGACCTCTGTTACACCAGCCTCATCCCATCGGTGGCAAGGGATTCCCGGAGGATTGCACGTGCTCTGCACCTCGTGGGAATTCGATCACAAAGGGCAGGCCACTGACATTAACACGGCACTGGGAGGCTGCCAGCACCCAGAAGGGACTGCTTGGCAGGGAGAGCTTTACATGGGAATTCACGCACGCTGGAGGGTGAGGTTCTGGTTATTCCTCCCCTGCAGCTGAAGCACACGCAAGGTCATCGTACACATCATCTCGCCCTTGTTCCTGGCTTGCAGAATTAGCCTTCTGAAGCAAATTCCCTCTTGGCCATGCCCAGCCGTTGGCTGCAGCAGCCGTTCAGTACCAAGGAGAGGGTAGCCTCCTCCACGGGTCCCACCCCACATGGAGCTGGCATCCTTGAGAGGCTGCCACTGAGATCCCTAAGTGTTCCTAATGACCCCCTGGCCTTCATCTGCTTCACACATTGCTGTGCTATAATTGAGGTCCCCTGGCTCTCATTCCCCACCTTCTGCATGTTTTAAAAGCATTTAATTCCACCCTATACACAACCACAAGAGAGCTTCACCGAGACTTCTCGGCCTTTAGCTTAGTTAAAATTCTCATCTTACTTTTTAGTGACATTTCATCTGACTTTGTCTAGACTGAGCTGCTGCTTCATGCTTTTGTCCACGCTTTTCCCTCCTCTTCCCCCACCATTTTATCAGAGGCACTGGCCTCTCCCTGAACTTGGTGGCAGTTGTTATTGCTTCTTTTGACTGTTTGCTTATTGAGGCTGCTGCTCTCTGATGAGAGATGGATTGTCATTCCTACCTCAGCAGTCTCTCTTGCTCCAGCCAAGCTCCATCAATAATTCAGCCAGGCCTCGATAACATTAGCTCTAGATGAATAAGATGCTCATGCCAATTAACTAGCTGAAAGGGCTCAAGAGATATAGGCAAGAGATTTCTCTTAATTTTTTTAAGCTCTTTTCTGAACTCCTAAAAATTGAGTTAGGTCAATGAGTAAAGCGCAGAGCAGGGAGTCTGACAGTTCAAGAGGCGCCAAGAGGCTTAAGCAGTTGATGTGCTGAAGCCCATCAGGCTCTGTTACCTTGTCTGTCTCCACCTGCTCTGACTGATACTGCATTGTACGGTTCTTGGGACAAAGCCTGTTCCTACAGCTCTGAGCTTAATAAGGTGCTGGAGCATGACGGCAGCATGTCTAGACAAACAGCATCTTTGCTTACGAACAGCCTCGCTTGATGAGCCTTGGGCAAAAGCCAGCAAAGACTCCAGAAAAGTTACTCAAGTGTTTTAGTTGCCCACCTGTAGACACTGCTGATACCTTTCAAGGGTTCCTGCTCAGTTCTGCACGAGGTCCCATTACTTTCCTCCTGTTGGGTATAACCCGAATTGCCAGCCTCTCTTCAGTCCCTGGCATCCTCATGCTGCAGCATCCTCCAGTGTAACAGCTCAGTCCTCACACATCTGTGGAAGGGACAATTGACCTGTAGACACAACTGCCTGGCAGGTGGCTGCCATGCCAAATGCTGCTCTAGCAGCTTAAATGGCGTGTACACCTTGTGGTAGCAGCACAGGAGGGACTTTAACAGTCCTGAAGTGCTCCAAGCTGTTCAGATGGAACCAGCTACAGATGCACAAAACCACACTCCCCCTCTTGCTGCACTGTTCATGAGTGTTCATTGTTCATAAGATTCAGACACCGAGGTGTCTTCACCTACTGCAAGGCACTGAAGTGTTTGATGCTGCCCGTAAAGAAGAGTGATTTGGAATTATGCAGAAATTGTAGAGAGGGCCCTGTGCATAGAGCATGTGCACCTTGGATGGCAAACAGCCTCACCTTCCTGTTCTCATCACTGCCCAGTCGCTGAATTTATAGCTTTGGAGAGAAACAGAAGGAAGAGTTAGCTGCGTGGAGGCTAGCAACAGGTTTGAGGGAGCTCTTTTGCTCCTGGGCATCGTTGTACTCACCAAGGGCGGGTGGAAGGCTTGAACATGTTACTAGTTGGCAGCTGCTCTAAGGCCTTCTGGACTACAGTCCTGGTCTTGATTCCTGTTCCAGGAGAAGGAGGGTGCTAGAAGTTGTTTTCTCTCAAGGGTGAACGGGGCTCAGGTCCCACAGCAATTTAAAGAGGGGTAACTGGAACCAGCCTCTATTATCCTGGCCTGCTCTTTATAATAAAAATAAGAGTTGGGCAATGAAAATGAGTCAGTAGCTTCCTGCACGAGGACAAATCTAACCGATTGGTAGCTATGGGAGAGAGTTACCCAGACAATTAAGAGACAAAATGTCTGTGATTTTCTCAATGCAACCAAAACAGGATCCAGATTTGGTTCTGCTGCTCAGCAATGCTTTTGCAAACCCTTTTAACCACAAAGAAGCTTTACTGACACTAGCAGGAAAATTCAGGGAAAGTGGTAAACCTCCCAAGGGAGAGAACAGGAGGGTATGTACTGAGACCACAGAAACCCCTTGCTGGAGGCGGTCAGTGGCTGCACCTCCTATGCTGCACAATTATGGCAAAGCTCAGCCTGAACCATTGCAAATCTCTGCTCCTATTTTTCTCTCGAGACAGAATCTCCCTCAGTAGGAGCGTAGGGTTTGTTTTTGGCTTCTCCTGATGCCACCTAGCGACTGTTCCCAGCCTGTTCAGCACCTTGAGTTCATTCCATAGTTCAGGCCTTCGGAGCCACTAAGCTAACGCGATTTTTGGAGGAAAAGCTGGTGCAGCTGAGTGGGACCAGCGACTGACAGGAGCTAAGTTACGCTTACAGGGAGGTGGGCAGCTACAGAACAGCTTGGAAAAGTGTTTGAGAGGCAACATTTGGACTAGAGAACAGTTTGGATAGAAGGTACTGACTTCTGCTGTGCAGAGGGTGACAGAAGCCAGAGCTATTGGGCAGTGAGGTCACAACACAGAACAAGCGATGGCATCATTTTTAATGGAGGTTATTTTTGATGGTATTTGTCATCCCTGGAGACAAGAGAGACACCAACTACTGAGTGCCCTGGATGTCTTCTGACAAGCAGAGCAAACTTGCAGGATCTGTTAGCATCCCCAAAAAGCACACCAACCCACACTGATGTCACCTTAACCAGAGCCGAGTGTTTAATTGATTGCAAGGGAGTGACAATCCCCCCGTGGTTGTGCTGGGAAGATCCCCACTGCACAGCGGTGGAACCGAGTCTTTAGAACAAAAGTACAGAGGAGGCAGATCCATCTCACAACAGAGTACAATGAAAAACAACTTACGTCTGGGGGCAGCATTAGGAATAACGATGCCTCCTAAGGACCAGCTAATACCCAGGCCTGAGGCATCTCAGCACGACTGAGAGAAGAGATTTGTCAGCGCAACCGACTCCCCAGCATCAGTACTTCACAGCAGGCAATGGATCTAAGGTTTGTTTTTTATATATATATATTTATATTTATTTATATAAAGCGCCTATCACGTATTGATAAACACTCTTTGGAACCACTCTGACGGCAGGGGTAAGAACAGGAGTTGGCCTGTTAGTACCTCAGCACTTCTGTTTCCAACCAATTTAGAAAAAAAAAAAAGCCACAAGACTTTGCTGCCAGCCCGGCCGGCTGGCTGGTGTTTAATACTGCTACTCCATCAGGGTTGGAGGGAGACCTACTGTGAATGGCAACAGTTTGCACCGTGACCCCTCCGGCCGTGCTGCAGCACAGCGCAGGCAGTCACAGGTGGGCAGGGGGACGTGAAGGCTCAGACCCGTTACCAGTCAAAACGTCTCATCAGCAGGGAGCTCCTGGTAGCAGGGAGCAAGCTAACTTTGCGCACAAAGACCTCGCTCTCTGTGCTTAAGGCCGAGTTGGCGAACCTCCTGGACTTGTTCCAAGTTTCAGAAGATCACCAGACAGAAATACATGTCAGTTATAAATATATCGTGTCAGTTTGGGGAGAGGTGGGGGCAAATTTAGAACGGGTAAAGGGGAGAGAGAAGGGAAGAAGACATGTTATATTTCCAGTACTGCAAACAACAGTTTTGACCTCACGCAATGTCAGCGGACCTTTCCAATAGTCTTATCTAGCTGATGTCCCATCTTTAACACATCAAAAGGAATGTTGGCTGGCAAGGGGTTAAACAATCCCACACAGTGGAGAGCGAATCTGCAGCCTGCTGGGAAGGTCCCCACCACATCACTGACGATCTCAGGGTCCAACTTGAAGGGAGGAAGCAGCTTCTCAGTCTCACACATCACTCAGGGCCTGGCGACAGCCAAAAACAAAGAGTGTCAGGAGGGACCCGGGGCAGCTCTCACAGTCCTCGACAGAAACATGGCTTTAAAACACACCCACGGCATGCACCCTCATCCCTGGAATTCTCTGCTAGAACCTGCAGTCATGGTCAGTTCAGAAATCAATGATGCAGAAATAGGCAGCCTGAACTACACCAAACCATCCTTTTTATACTCTCTGGGTTGCACTAGAAACCACAACCAGGTTTCTCTCTAAGACTTTTGGAGCTTTCCAGTGGGAAACACCAGTTCTGCAGGCTTTTGGACTTGTTTGTGCTAGAAGCAGGAGGGATCTGCCACGAAGTCATGGGACACCAACCCCAAGAACAGTTCCAAACTGAACTGCAGCCTTACTAGGCTGACTCATTTGCTGCCATGTCATACAAAATGCCACCCTGCTCCAACTTGCCCACAGAAGCCTTTAGGGCAGCAGGAAATCCTCAGTCCTGTGTACTCCCAACCCTGCCAAAGAAAAGTCACACCTCATCCTTGCTGGAGGAGTAGTAGCACAGCCTTGCTTACCTTCCGTGCAAACTCTGGCAGGATGAAAGCTGCCCGATGAATATCAGAGTTGTAGTATTTCAGATTCCTCTCCTCTACTTGTTGCCTTGACAGCTGCTGCACAGGCTCCCGGAAATTTGTGTTCTGCAATAAAGAAGCCGGGTGGCTCTGTAGTGTTTGGGTAACAAGCAAAGCGCTGCGTGATGGACATCCCAGCTCATGGCAGAGAACCAAAAGGACTAGCAGGAGAACAGATGAATTTCTGTTTCAGCATTAGGCCAAAGTTTCTGTGCAGCTCCAGCAAAAGGGCTGGAGTTTACTCCGTGCCTCATGTGACTAGCCCTTGTTCAGCTGTATACAGATGTCTGCATATGAGGTCAGACTGTGCCAGATGAAGCCGTCAGATTGTGCCTGAGCATCCAAGAAGCAAGGCTTTTGCTCGTCAGAGCAGAAGCCACATCTGTGTTAAGTCAAGCACAGCGCATGTTGCCAGTGGCCCAGATAAACCAAATACAGCAGCAGAAGTGCTGCTGGCTCCCCACAGCAACGTGACAGTTGTGTTACAAGCTAGCTGCAAGGCAGCGGATTGGGAAGAGAGCAGACCTCAGTGGTCAGAAGGTGGAGAGTCACCAGCTCACATGATGATGCTGACTCTCACTTGGAGGCCTCTGTAACTGCAGAGAAGCACACTGCAAGCTGATTCTTATCAGGCAGGTGCCCGCTTTAAAACAGCCAGCATCAATAGGCCAAAGCCTGAACAGGGTCTGGAAACTGATACTGGCCTCCACCCTTACAAGTTAGTTGTACTGGACATAAAACTATGTTTTTTTCTAAAGCGACTGGTTACATTACTGGTTAACTCTGCATTTTGTTGAGCACTGAGCAAGCTGCATTGTAGCTGTAGTGCCCTGAGCTGGGGACAAGCAGAAGCCTAGAGGCCCTTGAGCTGGTATCGCTCAGGGCCACAGCACAGGCTCCACAGGGACCAGCCCCTGGGGCAGGCTCTGTGGGTACCTCCAGGGAGCAGAAAGGGGCACTTCAGGTGCCTGAAACTCACCGGGTTCTTGCTGCAGAGCATGAAGCCAATCTGCCCGCTGGGATACGTGGGGATGGTGCAATAGGCGTACTCCACAACAGGGAACAGAGACTTGCAGAACTGACGCATCTCCTTAATGAGATCCAGGTGCAGCCACTGGCACTCACCTACGGGGAGAGAGCAAGACAGGGCGTAAGGTGAGGGCTGCCCCTCTTCACTGCACAAGCCCGTGCCAAGTCAACAGCAGCTCCAAGCCCAAACCTGCTTTACTCCACACAGCTCATGTGGTTTCAAAGGCAAGATAAGACCACTGCGCCAGTTTTACACTAAGCACAGTCCAGCAGGTAATGAGTTGACGTATATGGATCAAAACCACGACCATACCTGGGAGCTAAAATTTAATTCCCTGCGTCACGGCTGAAATGAATTTTACTCCCTGCGTCATGTCCCTCCAGGAAGAGTCCCCTTTGAGCCTCACACTTTGCATGATCTAACACCAGCCTCTGCCCAGGGACAGCACCCTCACCTTGGCAGCAGAGAATGCCATCTTCTCGCAGCGCCGTCTTCATCAACTGGTAGTAGGATTCTTTGAATAAACTTTCTGCAGGACCTGTGAGAAAGGTGAGTAAAGAGGTATGTCCAGAGAGAAGCGAAGAAGGCAGGCTTCTGAGAGTTTTCTCAATGCCCAGGCTATACAAGGTCTGCACCAGAAAAGGGACACCTCAAATACGGCTTTTCAGTTAACACAAGTGCTGGAGGTGATCTGAAAGCAGAGTTTTGATCATGGGGTTCAGCCCACACCTAGCACAGCAGAACCATCACGATTTTAGCTTTGCTCAGTAGCAACCCCAGGACCTTTACTAGAGTCCTAGCAGCTGCCTCTTGCTTCAGTGAGTGTTGTTCAAATTGAACTGCTGCTGTAGTCAGTCCCTTAGAGGTGCCTCTCTCTGTGTTGAGAGAAGCAACAGCAGCAAAAATGAAGGGAACTCAGGCACCCTAACTATGGCTGGTCCCTTCTCCCTCAGTTCTCACCTTCAAAAACGCAGCAACCTCACCACAGCCATCTCTGGGCTAGGCAGATCCACCAAGAGCTTGCAAGCCAGTGCTTCACTAGAGGGCACACGTACAAAACTGTTTGTGCCAACACAGCGCTGTATTGCCTGTGGGATCACTGGACTCAAGGATCACCTTGTTGCCAAAAGCAGTAGCTGCTAGAATTGAATTTTGAGGGGAGAAATATGACACTGGGCTTGAAGCCTTATTAATACCGTTTTCTGGTCGTCACCCTTCCCTTTCTCTACCAAAAGAATCAAATCAGCGATGGCCTTTCCACTTGGATGGAGCCTGGGGGCAGGCCAGCATTACTTCCAGGAGGTAGCCAAAAGAGAAGAGCAGAAGCAGGGTGGAAAGCAGTCCCCTTGTACGGCCACAACTCTTACCCATGGGGTCAGACGAGTCCGTGATTATCACATCAAAGGCTTCTTGATTTTGTTTCATGAACTCAAAACCATCTCCCACGTGCAAGGTCAGCTTAGCGCTGGAGTACCCCACTGCCATCCCTGGGAGGTATTTCTTAGATACCTGGATCACATCCTGCAACACAGAGATCATGAGCAGGTCAGTGGGGACTACAAGGAGCTGCTTCTCGGGCTACTGTGCAGCTGCAACCGAAAGAGCAGTGCTATGAGTCATTTCCTTCCATGCCTTCAGCACAAATCCAACTCACTAGCTACATCAAGAGCTGTCAGCATCTTCAGCCAACACGCTACACTCAGCCCTTTCCTACGGCCTCAGGGTTCAGTGACACTGTTTGTCTGCCCGTGCCAAACTCAACAAGAGGAACTTGCAGCTTCAAAAGCTCCCCGAGGAACTACGAGAATCTGATTACAGATCTGACTGCTCTGTGCTCGCTCTCCCTGGGGACATCACTGGCAGAGGTGATCTCAGCTGAAGACTTTTTTTTAAGTAAGACCACGGCAGCAGGTTTCTGGATGTGACGTGAGAAACATCCCCACCTCTGCTTTATAGTCATCATCCATGACCTCGTGAAATACGGTTCTCTCTTTGAAACCCCTATGAGCCACGTGTAAGACAGCAATGGCCCAAGGCCCAGCAACTGCACTGAACGCTACCAGCTTCTCACAGCTGGCTGAAACAAAAAATATGCCTGTGTCGGGCTGTGCTTGTTGAAAACCAAGCCTGTATGCCTATGTAGTTTGAGAGACAGGGCACAGAGGCTCATATAGCAGCATTTCCCACTCCTAATGCAGCCTCGCTTCATGGAGACAGCAAAACTTTCTAATAAAGGAAAATATCAGAACGAACTGACCGAGGACAAGCAGCCCATCTGCCACGGAAACAAATACCCCCCGCTTATTTCCTGCTTGCAGTGGAAGGAGGCTGCCGAACAAAGAGACTATTCCTCCGGCAGGAGAAGCACCTATTCTGCAGCAGGGGAAGGGGAAAAGCAGCACCTCCACCACGCCAGAGCTCCCCTTCTACACAGCACGAGTCCCCGGATCCCGCTGGCCTGGAAGGGCCTCTACCGTACGTGTGAGAGAGAGAGCACATGAGAGGCAGCCAGCTGCCACGTAGATGACTCGCAAGGCAAAGAGGTGGCGCTGTCAGTGTGGTGCCAGCAGAATCGTTAGCAAACAGGCTCGTTACTGACAAGGGACAGCAGGTGAAGCAGCAGCAGCTCCGCGGATGCTGAGGAGGACAGGCTGCTTTCTGCTCGGCAGCCTGCGAGAAGCCCCGGGGCGGCTCCGTGCAGCCCAACGCACCTCATCGATCTCGCACTGCACCACGGACTCCACCGTCGGGTGCTTCACCACCTCTCGCAGCACGCCCCCGTCGCCGCCACCGATGATGAGCACCTGGGACAAGGAGAGGGGAGAAACGGGGGCATCAGCGAGTGGAGATGGGGAGCAGCTCTTGCAGCGTGGCCCGGGGCAGGGAGCCCAGCGCCACTGGGGCTTGTCCCACCCTGGTGCTGAGGCGTGCAGCAGCAGGGGGGCCACGCAGGCTGTGCCACGGTCATGCTCCACGCTGAAATTTTGGCAGTGGGGAGGGACGGGGGCCGGTCTGCGGGCACAGCTCGCTCGCAGACCCCAGGAGGAGCAGAAGGGGCACGGGGAGGACTCACCTTGCGGGGGTCGGGGTGGCTGCAGAGGGGCAGGTTGGCGATCATTTCCTGGTAGGAGAACTCGTCCCGCTCCGTGCACTGGATCACCCCGTCCAGGACCAGGACGTTGCCGTAGGTGGTGCTGGGCAGAGCGGGGGAGCGCGCTCGGAACCGGGGCCGCGCCTCGGGCCCAGAGCCGCGCTTCCCCCCCCCCAATTCCCACCCCCAGCCCCCAACCCCCGGCCCCGCCAGGCCCCGCCGCATGGCGCCGGCCTCCCCCCTCTCCCACCACCTCTCCCCTCTCCTCCCCCGCTACCTGCGGAACACGAGGATCTCCTGGTAGCGGGAGCGCTGGTGGTGCAGCAGCTCCTCCACCTGCAGCGACATGGCCTGCCCCGGCCACAGCCGGCACGTCTCGCGGAACCAGCCCTCGCGGATCAGCGCCGCCGCTCCCTGCTCCATCCCGCCGGGAACCGACACCGAGCCCGGCCCCGAGCCCGGCTCCGGCTCCAGCCCCGGCTCCGGCCCCGCCGCCCCCCCCCCGCCGGGCACCTGCGCTGCCGCCGCCGCCGCCTCCTGAGCGCGGGGCTCGGAGCGGGGCGCAGCGGAGGGGCCCCCACGCGCCGCCCCGGCCCCGGCCGCCAGCGCGCGCCGCCGCCGCCTCCCCATTGGCGAGCCGCGAGCCGGCGGCCGCCCATTGGCTCGGGGGGGCCGTGACGTCAGCAGAAGGAGCAGTGGGTGCAGTGCCAGCAGCGCCGGCAGCGCCAGCACCGCCGCCAGCGGTGGCAGCAGGGGAAGGAGCTGGGGGGGGGGGGGGAGGCCGAAGCCCCGCGGCCACGTGGGGCTGCGGCAGCAAGCCCGAGGAGCCGGCGGGGGAGCTGCAGGCCGGGGGAGGCCGAGCTCTAGGGAAGGGGGAAGAGGCAAACGCACGAGCAGTTTTTTGGGGAAAGGGGCTCCCTCCTGGTGCTCGCGGGCAGGCAGAGTTACAGAACAGCGAGCGGGATGGGGGAGAAATTCACCATGGGTATACCGAAAACTCAACCAGGTTTTTCTAATAATCCTGAGCGACAGTAGGCTGATAAAACAAGAGGAGAGGACCCCGTGTGACTCCACACGCTCCATAGGTGTACCCAAGTCACTGCCGTTGAAAGCATTTTAATGGAATGGTTTTTAATGCTTCTATGGCAGCACCCCACTACTCACAGTTTCAGCTGTATTCTATTTTCCATTTAAGATCATCCTTGAAACATTACCTGGCACAGGACTGCAAATAGAAAACTTAAAGAAACCAAGTACTTTTAGTATCTCTGCAGCCAATGGGGCTTTCAGAAAGTTTTACTCATTCTTCAATTACCAAAGTATCAGAAGGCATAAAGCTGACAAGAAGGGGAACTGTCAAATCCCTGCAAATGCACTTCAGTAAATTGCTATTCAACCGCCTCTTTTCAGAGACATTCTCCAGTATTCAGCCATTCAGCTAGATTTTATGAGCAGAAAGGGACTTTGTCTCGACATTACCATGCTGCTCAGCTGGCACTCTTCACCCTAAGATACGTAAGGAGAATAAACCTCCTCTGTTCCTTCCACTCCCTACTCACCAGAGATATTGGAAATGATGGAAAATAAACAAACAAAAAACCAAACCTCCTGACACGTCTTTTAAAATGCAGCCCTCGGGTTAGGAATGCAGAAGCAAGTTTTTACCACTACCCACTCAGTCCTTGCACCTAGCCTAACATAACAGAGAAATAATGGTAACTGCCAAAACACGTGAGCATGCAATGGAAAATCTTCAGGCAGAAATGGAAATCATGGAGCAAAGATAAGGCCTTTGGGAAGGGCAGCAAGCTCCATTCATCAGAGCACTGAACAGCAATCCAGGATGCAGCTCTGCCACTGATCTAATACAACTTCAAGCAAAATTGTATCAGCCCTAACCTTTGGTTCATCCAACTCCAAAACGGCAACGTTGTTTACCTCGTCTTTCACAGGAGCATCACTGGCTTTCAGTTGTCTTCAGTTGTTTAGAGTGAACTCTGCTATCCTTGAATCACTTTACATTCTGAGATTCTTTCTACAAAGACATTAGGGTAACTCGCTCTGGGTATTTAAAACCATGAGAACATTACTATAGCCACAGTGAGATTCAGTTGCAGTACAGAACCCTACTGGCTTTCCCCAAGCCAGTATTGTACAGTGTCATTACTTTTTCTACCTAAAGGCACTGCTTTCTGTCTACACCATTATGGTGAAAAAGTAACTACTGTGTCTGATCCAAAAAGCAGCTGAGCACTTTCCCTCTTCTTAAAATCTTTGCTTAAAAATACAAATACTGACAGGAAAATACACTCTTTTTGATATTACCTTGTCTTGTAAAAGATGAGCTGTGTCGTTCAATTTGTAAGCAGAGTCTAACATAAAAGAGCCTGGCTTTATTTCTTCCTCTGGACTGCTGGGGTTTGAGTCACATCTACTGAATCTCTCAATTATTTTTGTGCTGGCTTTAGAGATGCCAAGGGATTCCTCCATACTCCACTGACGTGCTGGTTCTGAACTTCAAACAATTGACAAGTTTAGCCTAGCTGTATTTGAGGACACAGGATAAACTTTCAAAATTAGAAACAACGCAACATTGTGAGTATAATTAGAAAAAACAATGTGAAGATAATAAAAGCCAAACCAGTTGAGATGTTTATCCTTTAGGAAAAAAAGGATTTTAATGGGCTAAAAAGATTTCTGTACAAAAACTGCTCAGTGACCAATATTTGCCTTTCCATGGTGACAGTACTTATGACTATTGTTTTGTTCAGCAGCAACTCCCACAGGTCTCGTAACAAGGACTATCTCTTCGGCCAGTGGTGTCTGGAACCCCTACAAAAGAGAGTTACAGAAGACTTAACTCTTGCTTTACATTCACTCAAGATTAAAAAATCTACAATAACTTTCAATGATTCTTTTGAGAAAGGGTCATGGTGCAGGACCTTTCTGCTTCTAAGGCTGCCCTTACATAGCATTGCTCTTTTTTGGCTAAATAATTCACAAGAATCAAGCCCAGGAAGCTAGACAGTAAGTATATTCAGAACGAGAACATTCATATTTGGCAGTACTGTTATTTGTCTTCCCAAGCTAGACAAATGTTCTCCCCACCTCTGCCTATCTTTGTGGCCAAAGAAAGCGACTCCCACATCTATTAACACAAACTTTTAGATCAGTATTTCAAACCTTCCACCCAGAATTGTCCTTTATTTGCATTAATCCTGACTAAGCCTTTTCTTTTTTCCTTTAAACTGACGTCAAGCTGCGAAAATAACATAAGTAAGTGTTATGCAACCGCTTCCCATAAAACGTGCTTAAGCTCCCACAGCAGCAGAGGACAATAGCTACGTTTTGCCCATGGCTCTGGAGCACAGGAGTAAAAATGCTCCACGCATGATGAGAGGAGGCTGATGACACACCTGTCAGCCTTCCCTGCCAGGTAGGACATGCTTCGGTTTCCAGCTGACTGTTGGAGTTTGTTAGCTCCAGCAAATTTCTGTGTGGAAAAAAAAACAAACAACACAGTGAGGTAGCTGCCAAATACAGTATAATCAACGTGATACGTGTCCTGTTAGGTCCCTCCTACTTCAAGGAACACTGCTTGTTTACACTCTGAGCTTTGTTTTAGGACTTCATGCACTTGCACTGAATGCACCTGAATAAATGCTGTTTTGCTGGTTTAACCAATGACACGTGAGTCACAGTATCCGTTTACCCATCTATACAGAGCAATCCATACAGGTCTAAAACCTCCCAAATTCACTGTTCAGTTGTTCCTCCTCATCCCCCTTCTCTGAAACAAGTTTAAACTGACACAGCAAAGAGACTGCAGGAAACTGTATTTTACACACTATCAGGCATAAACCTGTTTTGCTTCTAAAAAATGTTTTTAATGAATGTCTAAGAGGCTTCCTGGTACCATTTGCCTTTCGATTAAATACACAAGGCAGAAGGTACAGGAAAGAGGCTGAAATGCAAGAAATGAGCTTCAGAACGTAACGAACACCTGAGCACCCAATGAGTTGACAGATGGGCACCTATTGCTTCATGCTTGAATGCCCACTGACATCACGCATCAGCACCCAAATGCTCCATATGTGAGTGCTACACAGGATATAGTAACCCAGGTCTGCCAGAGTGACCTGTGGGGGGAGGAGGGGACAAGAACTGCCCTGTGCTGGTCACAGGCAAGTAGATTTGTTTCCCTAAGTTCATAGTTGTCTGTTCTTCTCTTCAATCAGAAGGTCGTGTTGTTAATTAGCAATTAATTAATTTACAAAAAACAAACAAACAAAAAAAACACTTGGTGGAGAATGCAGGCAACACCTGGACCTGCCAAGGCCTGGGGTGACTGGAGTGACTTTGAGATTTTGGAGAGTGCCTTCAATTTGGTATTGGGAATTTGTGGAGGAGTGCTGTGGTCTAAGCAGTGTGCCTGTCATGCTGGGGGTACAGCTGTGAACAGTGTATAAAAGGGAGAAATAATGGAAGAGTCTGTGGGGCCCTAAGAAAGCTCTTCCTGAATGGGAACAGGCTATAACACAAGAATTTGTGATTGGAAACTGCACCTCAGTACAAAGTGCTGTTAGAGAGCATTCCGCAGATCCTGAGAAAGTCCGCTACCTTTCCCAATGACTCCCCACCTGGGTACACAATATCATCAACATTTCCGTTTCTTCTTTCATGACATGTCTGTACCTTGCCTGTGTAAGCTTGTTTAGCAGGATCAAACTGCGCCGACTGCTTCGATTTGCTGCTTCCTATGGGAAAGAGGAGAGGAACTATCACTAAACATTTCCAGAAAGAACAGTACAATCCACAGTCTTTCTCTGATAAGGAGATCTCACTGCAGTCTCCCATGCTAAAATCCAGAACAGATTCTGAAGGGTGTAAGAAGCCTCTGAATGAACACTTATTACAAAGGAGTCAAATCTCCTTTGCCTCCTAATTCCTTGGGTCCAATTAAACCAATGACTTTTCTCTACAGAGCAGAGAAGCAAGCAGTGAATCCACAATCCCCTCAGCCAACTGTTTCAGGATTTTTGTTTCCAAACCAGAAAAAGAATGCTAAACTGTTGATTCCCCAGGTAAATTTCTTTCAATATTTCCCCACTGTAAGTGAACTGGAAGTTTGTACTGCCTTGGCATCCGTGTTCACATACAGCCTTCTCAGGGCTCAGCTCGCAACATTTTCCACAGCCTGCAGCACTCTAGCAAGAGATCCAGATCTTACCCGCAAACACTTTGAAGTTGGACTTGCTGTAATCAAAGGGGGTAAACTGCTTCGGTGCTTCCAGCTCCTCTGGTTGCTGGGAGGCTTTTGGCCTTTTCTTCTCTTGTTTTGGCAATTCTGTTCCCGTTTCACTGATGACCCTCTCCCTCTTCTTATTAGCCTGTTCCTGCTGTGAAAGCAACCCGTGGAATGAAAACAAGGACAAGTTCAGGAGAATGAAACATCTCTGTGAAGGCATGAACATCAGCATGCAAGTGAATTGTCAGTGGACCCGGGCTCCAGTGACAACTGGGGACTGTCTATGGCAGTAATAGTGTAGGAAGAAAGCAGTGTTCTTCTTTGGGCCTGAACTGCTCCTCCCCTGTCC